CATTTAATAAAAACAGTATAAAAGAAGAGCAGTACCAATAAGAGTGTAAAAATAGAGAAAAGTTACTAACAGGTTAAACATGATTTGAAAATAATAAAAAACAATGTTATCAGATGAGCACCTTAGTGTGTCCCTCTAACTTCGTCAACATTGTGAATCCAGATCCACAGTACCAAGAGTGTATGTCCTTGCAATTATCGCCATGGACACAATTTGCTGTAACCCAATACTTGCATACGTTTGGCTGGATTTTTTGAACTGGTTTTCTATCCGATTCAACTGATTCAGTGGTCAAAGCCTTTTGCACGGTCTGCTGGCAGTGGATACTTTCTTTGGAGGTTACGACCATTTCTTGGTCCATCCGATCAATTTTTCTTTCATTCTTTGCTAGGACCTCCTGTTGGGAAACTTCACCACTTGTACGCTTGGACCCAGCCCCTCTGTTAGTTAAAAGTGTAACATTCTTGGGAGTACTGGAGTTAGTATTCCTCCAGGTCCTTCTGCTGGATTTTAGGTAATGACTTTCCTCAGGTGATGCTGAATGGATCTGCTTAGTTTGCGGGATTGGTGGTGATTCTCTGTGCATGAACCTGCATGGATTCCGATTGCATCTCCCAGAAAGCCAGTAGACACAGACTCTGTTTTTCAGAAATCCTCCTTCAAGTCGATTGGAGACAGAGACTTCCCTTGCAGCCTTGACCGCCATTATAATACTATACACACAACAAATTACAGGTTAATCAATTCATACAACAATCTCTTTCTTGCCAAGATAGGAAATCCAAATGCAAAATTCCAGCACAGTACATCCATCAAATTCAAATTTCTGATCTCCAAAGACGTTTCCTCTGCGGCAAGCCACAAATGAACAAGTATCCAAATGTGAAAACGCTGAGCTCTAAAATCCAACTACATTGAAGGCTAAGTAGAAACAGGTCAAAAAACCATCCACTTCAATACCATCCGTGGCTGTCTCAACCAATAACTGAGATTCTATTAACAAAAACTAGATAAAATACCTCCAGCAAATGAAAAGAACATATAAAAACCAGTGAATCAGAACTCTAATTGAGAGGCAACAATAGTCAAACTTTTACTGTAGCCTGGAATTTCCAGAAAACCAACTCTTTTTAGGTAGCAGAAACCTTAAATTTCTGATTCCGTGAAACCCAAAATAAGTGCCAGAAAACCCTCCTATTGTTGAATACCCGACTTACAGACTGATTAAAAACTACAGAATTAGAATCCTAAATGGGCAACAACAAAAAATAAATTTTCTGTACCCACCACATTGGGTAGAACTCCTCGCCCTTCAACTGGTTTGTAGGGAGAGGATGCCGGTTTGTAGGGAGAGGGTGCCTAATTGGTTATAATTCTAGAAACCAAGTCTCAGCTTAGCAATGTGGAATACAATAAGAATTATTACATTCCACCCATCCTTTCATAACAACATCTACACCTTATTACGTCGGCTCATATTCCTGGAGATTTCACGGAATCAGTTTTCAACTGGGAGTACCCATCTCCAGGTCGCCCTTTCCGCAATGAAGATCATCGCCAGAAGGAAGGAAGCATACTTGGATACCAATTGTAACCACAACGGTAGAGCTCACAATTCAAATTTATAAGCAGAGGATGCCCTATTAGTTATCAGCCTTATCGTATCCAAGAACGTCTTAAAAACCATCAGAATAATCCACTTAATCAATGCATTAGAAGTGCCAAAAATCCAAGGACATACAAACCGAGAAAAGAACCATAACGTTTGAAACCCTAAAAACGCACAAGGAAAATCAGAAGAACCCGATCCAGTCATCGCAGAAACAGGAGCGGCGGACTGTCGAAGACCCATCAACTGGTGGTGGATGAATCGATAGATAGATAGATTGCAAAACAACAAAATCGAAATCCTAATTGCATATATAGATGACAGAAATCCAGAAATAAACGTGAAATAGCAAACCTGATTAATTGAATCAAATAAAAAAATCTGAAATTTATTACTTCCGCAGATCAAAATAATATTCAAAACTCCAATTTCTTTTCCTAGGAGAACAGAACTTTCGTGAGTACTGTATCTGGCGAGTTCAGGACGTGTATTTATAGGTGAGGCCGGTTTATTGAAGTTACCGATTTGCCCTTTCCGTAGCCGCAGGACTTAGCACTACATTCAAACCACCCCAAAATTTAATTACTTAAAATATATTTTAATAAATACACCACAACAAATTTACTACTACACTCCTAATCCAACAAAAACTAAAAAAGAAAAAAAAAATACAATATTATGGTATGCTCATCATCTCAATATTTAATTATAAAATATCAAAAGTATGAACACAATTCTTCATTAGGGTAAAAAATTTGTCCTAAGCCCTATTTTTTCTTCTACTTTTACTTCAAATTCTGTCTTCTCATTTAAGAAACTTCGTACGAAGACATGGTTCGCCATGGAGTAAAGGCCACATTCCTGATTCAAGTACGTATGCTACCATATATTTGGAATCAAAGCTTGATTCTCATCTTTCCTACTCCGTGGCTGCTATAATGTCCGGCAATTATTATTGCACTTCACTGAAGAAGATATAGGTATTGAAAACAATAAACAAGTCTACAATTAGGGATGTCAACACACACGAGCTCGGCTCGCGCTCGCGCTCGTGGCTCGTTGGGCGAGGTCGGCTCGGTCCACGAGCTCACGGCTCGTCCAAGCTCATGGGACGAGCCGAGCTTTGGCTCGTTAGCTCGTCCTTTTTTTATGCAGAAAAAAGCAAATGAATATAAATGCATTTTGAAAAAAATAATTTAATGAACACAATTTTTTTTATTTCTATCATATAATAATATTTTTTATAAAGTGTTAAATATTTATGTAATGAAGACGATTTTTTCTTTAAATACATTTACAAAAATTACATTTTTTTCGATTTCTTTTTAAAATTGATAAAATTAAACCCTCCTCCTTTATTCCTGACTGTGACTGGTTACATTAATTTTAAATAAGCGGAGTTAAAAATTGTACACGAACAACTTGTTATAATGTATACAATTTTTTAAAGAAAATTAAACATAACGATTAAAAAATAAAAAATTTTGATTAATATAATTAAATCAAATATCACTTACCTGATGATATGCAATTTCAGCGTATTTATCTTGTAGTTGAAAATGAGAATCTTATCAATCCTTCACGCACATTAATGCTTTCTAAACATCTTCTTTCAACTGACTCCTAACATCGGTCAAAACCCTTTTACCTGCACTAAAAGTAGACTCCGAAGCAACAATGCTAACTGAAGGTGTCAGCAGTTCTTTCGCAATTGCAGAAATAACTGGCCAACGTCTTTCATACTTTCGTCAGAATTCAATTACTTCTTTTGAACTTTTTTTAATTGTTTTGTCTATCGGCATATTCTGATTGAAGTAATCAATTAATTCGACAGGCATCGCATTTTGAGTTGCAGTCAATGTTTGATGAGATACAGATGTAGACGATATGGCACTAGATGAACACATTGCAGTTGCATCATATCTATATGATTAATGCCTTGAAATAAATTCATTATTTCGGCATCATTTTCTTCAATTTTAGTTGAATGAGTAGGTGTAGAGGATAACTAACTAACATTCGCACACATTCGTTTCGCATATAATTCATATATTCCACATAATATTTGCTCTAAATTCCTATAGGTGATAGGTGTATCAAACGTTAAGGCTTTGTTGATTTGATTAGTTACGTATTTAGTTCTCGATAAATTATATCGATGGTCCATTACGCATGATAAAGGAAATAATATAGGCAAGTCTTCCCAATATTTTCTAAACTTTAATTCCATAACAATTATAATTTCAGTAAAATCAGGATCATTTTTATATTTATGAAATGTTCTTGTAATTATATAAAGACGTTCAAACACCATACAACTTGTGAGATAATAAATGCTCGATAAAAGTTTTGTAGTCTCATAAAAATATATCAAAAATCTTTTAACTTTAAAAACTAAAACTCAATCGGATTCATTCAACATAGCATCGTCATCGCTTCTAATGTGTTTATTGTTATAAAAGTTAGTTACTAAATGTTCAAAACTTTCACATGACTTTAGAAAATAGAGTTTCTTCTATGACCTACGTCGCTAACAAATGTTTTAGTAGTCGTCATCCCTAGTTCGGCATAAAAATCTTCAAAAACTTGTTTTCTACTAAGGGGGATTGTAATATGTATTAGTGCATTCCCAATCTTTTGAAATTCATCATTTATATGTTTTAAGCGATCTTGCACAATTAAATTCAAAATATAGCACACACAATGAATATGAAACAAATACTCACCGAAATCAGGTTGAAATAATTTATCGATGACTACCTTATTAACACTAGCACTATCAAAAGTAAACGGCCAAATTTTAGTCTCGCAATTATATTCTCTAACAGTACTGATAATAGTATTATATATATTATTAGCATTGTGAGGAAACTCAATAATTCTAAAAGTAAGATTTTTTTTTATGCAAGCACCAAAGTGGGTTTATATAGCATGCGGTTGCAACTTTATAAGCTCCTTTATTAATCTCTTCTCATATATCAGAAGTTAGAAATATAATACTCTCATATTGTTGCAAATTCATAATTAATTGTTGTTTTGAATCATTAAAATATGGTATTATATCAGCATGAAGAGTGTTTCGACTTATCCTAACGTCCCTTGGTTGCAGATATTCTTTCACGTAGGAGACGAAATGTTGGTTGTCGACAATAGCTAGAGGCAACTTAGTGGCGACAACAAATTTCACCATTCCGGATCGAGCCTTCTCCTCTGAATACACTCACTAGGATAGGGGCGAAGTCGTAGAACCGGCCCCTGGACTGTCAAATTGCAATTGTGTTTGATCGGCAGGAAGAACTCTATGTCTGGTCGCACATACTTTGTAATGGCGGTTGAGATGGGTGGTACTAATTTCTTTTTGCCATGCCAATCTTTGTTGGCAGTATGCTATTGATGACTTTTCCCGTTGAAATCAACTTAAAGTGATCCCAACATTTTGCTTTTTTCCCCTTTCGCTTTCCCCTTGCATCTGGGATGTATAATTCAGGCTCTTCGTCCTTATGTTTTGCTTCGAGAACGTTAATATCATCCAAATCAATTGAATTGTGGCTTCCATGACCGTGAATGTGAACATCTTCAGGTATGGGTACATCATTTAGACCGACAAATTCATTTCGAAATTGACATTTTTGCGTCCTAGGTGATTTGCCATGTGGCTCACATCCCGTATTGAATAAGCTCTCAACAAATGAGCGTTGATCCATTTGTTTGACTATTTGTGATGAAATTCAAATATAATAACTAATAAAAGTATAAATGTAGTGAAAAACGAGAATTTGACGAAATTTCAATAAATGTAGTGAGAAATAAGAAATGGATGAATTAAAATTGAAACCGAATAAACTGTAAAAAAGAATCAATATTTGTATTTTTGCACAAGAGAGTTGAAACATGATAGATAAAGAGTTGAGAATTGAGTTTTGAGATGAAAAAAGTTTGGCATTAATGGGGGCTATTTATAGAAGTGGGAGGAAAAAATTGAAAATTCAGTGACCAAAAACGGTCACTGAAAAATTCATTGCCCGTTTTGGTCATTGAATTTTTCAGTGACCATTTGGTCACTGAAAAATACGGTCATTTTTTCAAAAAAGAGACCGTTTTGGTCACTTAAAGCCACGAGCGGTTCGCCTTCTATCCCAACGCCTAGGCCACTCGGCTTACGCTCAGGCTCATATTTTTACGAGCCCGAGCCATCCACGATCTCCGTTTTTACGAGCCAACGAGCCACTCGGCCCAATTGTAATTTCTATCTACAATCATCTCCTTAAATAAGCACTCCACGAATACCTCATTGGTCTAATAAAAAGAGCAGAAGAAAAATTCTAGAATCTAATGTTACACGTTACATTTATATGCTGCTTAAGGGAGTGTATTCAATTGACTAGGGTATTTCTCAATGGCCTCTAGTTACTTGGGCCTGTTTGGCTAAAAATTAAAATTGTAAGTTTACTTCTGAGTAAATAGTTCTATGTAATTTTTCTTGTTCATTGAAATTGAAAAGGATAATTATATTGACGCATTTTAATGCAATGAAGGTCACTTTTGTCCATCAGATTAAATCGCACAAAATTTAGTATAAATTATAACGAATATTTCTAGCTTGGCGTATTATAATGAATAAAGGTTGACAATAATCTTTGAATTTTATTTTATGAGATGCCACTTATATCTCTGTTTTATGCGGCTTAAAAACTTACAGCCAACGTTCGCATATTGCTTAAACCTACAAATGGCTATCTTTTCTTTTTAATAAAGAATTAAAAATACTATTCATCATAAAATTCACCATAATCTAATGCACCAGATGTAGCTTGAAGATCCTAATTTTACTCATGGTCTCATTTACTCCAATTTTTGTGTGTGAGTGTATAGATACAATGATTCGAACATTGGCTTCTAGGGTTATATTTTACTTCCTTGACCATTAGTCAAACATATATATTTAGATTTAGCAAAATAGTTTTCATTTTAGCTCAATAGATATTTTAATTAAAATTATGATCAAATAATAACCCACTAATTCAACCTTCAACCACTAAGTCACCGGTTGAACTACTGTCCCAATGACCCGATGGTTTTTTCGGGTTGGGTTTAACTTCAGTTCACTCTAATCAAGCCATTTAACAATACTAGTCTCTGCCTCGTGCGTTGCACGAGTATTGTATAGATTATGTTATTATTAGCATGGAATGTGTAGAATTTAAAAAAAAAAAAAATGTATTTCAAGTTTTAGAAAATGTGAAATTATTGTTTTTATAATTGAAATGTAAATTGAACAAAAACTAATTTCATTGAAAGCTACAAAATAAGTACAAGCCACAGCAAAAGTATATATAATATCTTCCAAAATGAACTTGCTTAGTATTCGAGTTATTTCAAAAGATAGTATAGCTGAATTTTTTCTTCCATCTTCTACTCTATTTTTTCTTTCATT